CGTAAGTTTAAATAAATCGAAATGAACAGTTTAAAAAATGTGATTATCCAATCACGGCTCATTTATTAGGGCCCTAGTGGTGAGAATAAATTTTGAGAAAATAAACAAGATTGAAAATCTTCAAACAGACCTGGCACCTCGTGGCGAAAGGTTGATCTATTGAATGAATTATTGTGAAATTTGAAACTTGAAAATTGTTGAATTGTTGATTTGACCATTTTCTTTTCTTCGCCCTCTTGCGGGTCTTCGTCCTTTTCCCACATCTTCGCCCTCTTCCAGGGCTGTAGAACATCTGCCGCAATCTGAAAATGAGATGTTAAATATCAAAGAATCATTGCGATGATAATAAGCATCAATTATCAAAGAACATCAATTCATCAATAATAAGCATGTTAAATATCAAAGAACCCAATTCACAAAAACGTGTAAAAAATAAACTCACTAATAAGAAATTCGCATTGTTTGCCCTATCCAAAGGGCATCTCCTTCCATCGCGAGAAGTCCTCACCTGAAGACTTCTTCTTTCTCCGTGCCCTCCTCTTGTAGAGGGCAATCATTCCGCCCGACACTACGGAGCCCCGGTCCCTTTCCATTCATTAAAATATCTGAAACCAAAATCTCTCAATGTTGAAAGGTAGTCGACGACAAGTCTTAATCGACCTATCGGATTATTAGTACATCGAAACAATCGCAGATGACCGCCGAAAATTCCCACTGAAGGACCAAATAAAGTAAACTTCGAATCAAACACACAGTCAAAGAATTGTCTCAATAGAACTGAGCCAGTTCATTTCTAAATCAAACCTCACCAAAACCACTGAACCACATGAAGAATCCACTCGGTTATTATCACTCGAATTAATAACACTACCAAATTTGGCTTAATTAACTAGGAAAGGTCACAAGTAAGACCACTAGCTCAAGTCGCACATTACATCGAGAAGTACGAAGACTCCTAAACTGAATCAATCGAAACTCTTATAGTGGAACACAACAAATCCAAATGCACACCACCGCGCGCTACACACAAACCTTTCAAATGATAGAAACGAAAAAAGTTCTAAAATAAAGTCGGAAATCATACAGTTACATAAAGATTGAACTGTGACCAAAACTCTTCACTTAACATCGATGAACATACTTGAGGAATACTGCAGTCATACACTCGCCTCACTGTATATGCAAATGAAACGAACGTTCCATGAGATGACATACATGAAGAGAAAACAACTATCTCTGTTGCATAAACTACTATTTCCTCACTTATGTCTTCCCTAGCATATGTATCCCATCTACACAGTGTAAATCCTTCCTTCCATTTGTCAAATCTTAAGATTTACATATTTCATGAACCAAACTGATCTCACTTAATTGATCATTTACGATTAACCCCTGACCCTTTCTTTAGAACAGTAATCAAGTATCTCAAACCTGAGTCCCTCCAACATACTTAATAACAGAAATTTGACATATTAGTAATCGATTAAGAATCGATTACGAATTACAAACATCGAAAACGTTAAATCCACGCAACAAATACAACTTAAACAACTGTATCAAACTAATTCTTGATCTCAAACAATTTGTACCGAAATACGCAATTCAGTCATCAACTTTTTCTGTCATTTCAACAACCTGAAAACACTTCTACATCACCTACCAAAAAGATCAATTAAAATCATAGCAATCACAAAAAAATTAGAATGTCCCACTATTAATCACCCAAACTCAAATTTCAAAGCGCAATTAAAACAAATGGAATACGGAATGTAAACACTTGAGATTACTTTAC